CTATTCCCACTCAACGGGAGTGGAAAACATGGTCAGCTAAGACTGTAACCAGCTTTAAGGATCCACTGATAAGGAGTTTACCCCAATGCAGGAAAGTGATAAAAATAGAGTTCCAGTATTTCTCAGGAAGCAAAGAAGAATCCTAACCACAGTGTAGAGAAACAGTTGGATTTGTAGGAAAGACTCAAGCTAATTAAATGTTCAAACATTTCTCTTCTATCTCATACAATATATCAGGGTCACAAAGAACTTACCAATTGTTCCGTTTACTAAATCCTGCAGTATCTTAAAAGGGCCACCCTCTCTCAAGAATGTTACAAATGTGTAAGGATCATCTATTTGCTTTAAATATCATGGAAACATTTCTTGAAGAAAAAGAAGAAACAAATTAACTTTTTCATTTAATGTTTTTATTATTTATTTATTTTTGTTGGTTATAGGGCTTGAACTCTGGGCCTGGGTGCTGTCCCTCAGCTCTTCAGCTCAAGGCTATTGCTCTATCACTTGAGCTACAGCACCACTTCCTGTTTTCTGGTAGTTTATTGGAGAAAAGAGTTTCACGGACTTTCCTGCCAGGGCTGGCTTTTATCCTTGATCCTCTGATCTCAGCCTCCTGAGTAGCTAGGATTACAGGCGTGAGCCACAAGTGCCCGGCTTATTTTTATTTTTTTTAAGTTAAAGGGAAGACAAATTACAGTCTTTACCAGAGTTTCGAAGAAGAAAACATAGCCCTCTCTGTCAGTTTTTGGCAGTACTAAGAGACTTTCTATTGGGACGTATCTTTTGGGATATATGGCAGAAATGTAAATGACATTTAGGAAACATATATCAAAATTCAGTGCCAAATTTTAATTACAAATGAAGTGTTCACTTTGATAGCATCCTTTATTATTTCAGTCTTTTAATTTCAAAGTCAGCCTCTGTTCACCTAGATACATCTGTGTGCATGAGTATGTATATATAAAATAAATGGATAACTGTTACAGTTGTGCACTTTTAACGTATATTATTCAAGCTATATTTCTTATGAAAAGACTCAGAACACAATACAGGTCCTTTTTTTTATTGTGCGAATACCACATAGAGGAGTTACAATTACATGGGCAAGATAACGAGTACATTTCTTATCAAGCATTGTTGCCTCCTCTTTGTTTCCCCTTCCCATCCCTTCCCATACTCCCCCTCCCCCTCCCCAATCCTCCTCCCCACCCCCCACCAGTTCGTTTTTCAACATAATGACTTGTACATCTCATTGTTGCAATGGGTCCACCTGTATCCCTGTTAAATGATCTGTTTTTTTTTCCCTTCCCCTCCACAAATTATGCCAACATCAAATATAGTGAAAACATGGGTTATACCGTGGGGGAGAGACATATAAAGCAACATAGAAAGCATCTTATAAATACGTTAGAAACACTGGCATGAAAGGAAAAAAAACCAAAAAATATTTGAATACTTATCTTGGGGTTCATTCTCCTAACATCAACTTATCTGACCTTTTCCGCTTGTCACAGACATATACTAGTTATTGCAAATAAGGGAAACCATGGGACCTATGTTTCTTTGGGCCTGGTTTACTTTACTTAATATAATTTATTCCAAGTCTTTCAATTTCCTAACAAATGGGGCAATGTCATTCTTTCTGATGGAGGCATAGAATTCCATTGTGTATATATATCACATTTTCTTGATCCATTCATCTACTGAAGGGCAGCTGGGTTGGTTCCATATCTTAGCTATGGTAAATAAGGCTGCAATAAACATAATCATGCTGGTAGCTATAGTGTGGTCTTGTTTGTGATCATTTGGGTAAATGCCCAAAAGTGGGATTGCTGGGTCATAGGGGAGCTCTGTGTGGAGTGTTTTGAGGAACCTCCATACTGCTTTTCAAAGTGGTTGGACAAGTTTACACTCCCACCAACAATGCAGTAAGGTTCCCTTTATACAGATCCTTTTTGTAAAGCAACTATACTACATAAAATTTTACATTTTCACTTTGAATATACTCAAGCTAGATAAAATTCAAAATAAGTAACGTTGTCTAGTGATAGTTTTCAAACCCAAAATAAGAATGAAAGCATTAAACTTTTTTTTCAGATTTAAGAGTTATCCTCATTTAATGAACATATTAGAGGTAGAAGTGATGCAAGTTATCTGTGTGTTTTACAGTTATGGATATTGGGCTTTGTTATTTTTCTTTTCTTTCTTTTTTTTTGGCTAGTCCTGGGGTCTGAACTCAGGGCTTGGTCACTGCTCCATGAGTATGTATATGCCAAGCAAAATTTTTAGTTGTTCAAACATCCCAGCTAAATTTTGTATCAAGGAATCTCACTCAATATCATATCTTTGCCATTTTTCTCCTTTATGCTAGAGAAATGAAACTGGCATAACTGTACTGATATGACCAGGAGTATTTCTTCTCCTTTTTTTAATCAAAAACAAAGAAACCAATCAGGCTTTCAGGATTTTGTAATAACATGTGAATTTCAAAATAAAACCAAGGCAATATAACTGTTGGGTTTGTTATTTCTAATGTATTTGATAGGATGGAATTAATAAAATGTTTGTTACTTAAATTCAACTCTAAAATCTATATACTACAAAGGTAGTTGTGTTTTCTACATCAGTGGGATTTCTGGGGGAGGTTTGTTGTCCTTTAAGAATGTGCTGGACCTAAATGCAGTTGATTATGAACTACCTATTGGATCTAAATTAGCACTTATTCTTGACTCCAGAAACAGACTTCAAGTCTCCTGGTTTTTGACAACATTTTACACTTTTAAAAGCATCACAAATAACCAGGCATTGATGGCTCATGCCTATAATCCTAGCTGCTCACAAGGCTGAATCTGAGAATCAAAGTTCCAAGCAAGGTTAGGCAGATAAATCTGGAGCCTCTTATCTCCATTTAACTACCAAAAGCAAGTACTGGAGGCATGGTTCAAGTCAGTACCAGCTGTGAGCAGAAAAACCGAGCAATCTCACTATACGCCCTCAGTTCAAGCCCTAAAATTTTGCTAAATAAATGAGTAAAATAAACTTAGTAAGAGAGGCTATTTTAAAAACTAAAGCAGTTGAGGTGTATGTTACATATCATCAAGCAAGAACTATTTGTCAAATAGAAGGGACATCTGTGGAACTTTTGTTGATAGTTATATTAAATCGTATTCATTTGAAAACAACTTATGTAGGAGTAGGGGCATGGTACAAATGCCTTACAAGCACAAGGCCCTGGATGCAAAGCCCAATACAACCAAAAAAAAAAGAATAAAGCTTAATGGCGTTGCAGGTGAATAGCTACATGATGTTATAAAGGGTAAAATAAATAGAAAACCAGTCAATCATAAATGAAAATGACTTATGTTTTTACAAAATAATTCTAACTTGTCCTTATTTGTCTCCTAATCTTCAATTAACTATTATGAAATTACATTAATTTGTATTAGCAAATTATATTGATGGTGATTAAGCCTTATATATTTTTAAGTAATTTTTGAAAGACCACTATGCACTAGATCAGCAATTACTAGTACACCTCAAATTTACAAAGAGCAATCTTAATTCTGTGTTAAGAGAAAAAACATTCAGGGTAGGTTGATTACAAAGAAAGCTAGGATTGTGGACCCATTGATGAGTACAAGGCAATGGCTAGGTTTTAGTCTCAGTATTAAAAAAAAAAACCCAAAAAACAAAAAAAGGGAAATTGAAAAAAAGAACTAAACATTATACTGACTTGTAAATATAGAACTTTTATGTCAAATTATATTAAAAATCAATATTATGTCAAATTATATAAGAAGAATATTTTTCTGAGATATCTACAGACAAAATTGTAAAGGATAAATAGCTGTGCTCATATAGTGTACATCTTGTTGACTTAAGGTTTTACTGATTTTTGAAACTCAGATGTTAGCCTCTGTACAAAAAAGAAGTGGAGGCTCATGCTTGTAATCTTAGCTACTTGGAAGGCTGAGATTGGGAAAATCATAGTTCAAGGCTAGTTCATCAGACTATCTTAGGTAACATTCTGACCAGTGATGTCATTAGTGATCATCATAGCAGAAAAAAATTGGCTTGATGCCTCTTCCCTGTGGGGAAGTAGGCTTGATAAGCCTAGACCCTTTTATATGTTCAGGGACTGAACACAGATGTCATTACCTAGTTAATCAAAAGGATACATCCAAGAAATATTTAATGAACTTTTTAAATTATAACATATCTCTTAGGTAAGACTAGATCAATAGGAACAAGGAACAAAGAAAGTTATTAGGAGTTTGGGAGGTAATTGAGGTAACATTTCAGATGTCTTTTACCTATAGCTTATACCTGTATTGTATGATTATGAATTCTATCAGCAAACCAGTGATGCAGAGGGCACAGTGAAACTACCAGAAAAGTTGTATCAATTATGAAATTTTAAAATGTACTCACATTTCATAAACTCAGCAGTTTTTGAAACATGTGTATTACACTTTGATATACCAAACAAACTTTAACAACTTAATCAATGGGTATACTTTTGCCATTTTTTTCCCTCTGAAGTTTTATCCTGCAACTCTTGAGATGTTCAGCTCTCTCATAGACAAGTGTATTGATGGTTCGCTCTCATTCTTTTATGAGTGATGAACATACAGTACTACTTCTGTAGGCCTTCGTGCCCTAGAGATGACTGTAACCTGCTATTGATCAGCTGATTGAAGATAAATGACTTAGCTGCTTGTATTGCAGATTACATCATTAACATGGTCAGTAAACCATGAATTGTTCAATAAGGCGTTTATCTTTTTTCATTTTACTTCTGCTCTTTTATCATTTTTATTAGAAAAGACAAAATTGCCCACACTAACCAGAAAGATCAGCTGAAAAGAAATCTAGTATGGTACATTATGGGTACAAGATTACAGATACCTGAATTCTGATGGCTTAATGATGTTTAGTGTATGTTTTTTAGCTGAGGAAAATACAGGGTTTTGATTACCTTTTTTGTGTTTCTCTTACAGCTTCCTTTTGCCTCATATTTATTAGAAGCAGTACTGGAGAAAATAAATGAACACAGGAAACTAGTTGAAGGCTGTTTCACAATTGTGAAAGATATTTGATGGTATTATAATGATCAGCTTTTTTTTCAAATATAAAAACTTTATGTGGTGTGATTGAAAACATGGGTTGCAATTTGGATACAGTAACTGCTGCAGCTATCAATATTCAGGTTCAATACCAAAATAAGAAGTCTCTGACTAATTAATTGCTGAACAAGTTTTAATTAAGTACATAGCCATTTAAAAGGAAATAGTGTAGCATTTGATTGTTGAGTACAAATATTGCCACAAATCAAGGCAAACTCAAAACTGATTTTTCCTTCCAGTATATTAGTAAAAAATAGAACAAGCTTGGCACACTCAACTAGATCTGAATAAAAATAAAAAGAATGAAAAACAAATTATTTAAACGTTTTAATTTTACAAGAGAACTGGACTTTTTGCATAAAACTGCTATAAATAGCCTTAAATGATCCAGTGAGCTACATATTTGTATTGTAAACAAATATAAAATGATGCATCATAATTTATGGATGAGCATTTAGTGAAATAAATTGCATGGTTCAGTTGTGTCTATTCTCATTGATATGTTAGCTTTTATACAAGATGTTGTATTTTTTCTCGAGCTATTTGACAACAATAAAAAGTTTTCTCCTTTCACATTTTAAAATTTACTGTACTTTATTTAATGATGTAAATTAACAAGAGACCACAAACTTAGTATATAAAGTTAGCCTATATGTAACAGAACTACTATAGTCAACTAATTAAAGTCACTTTAACTATGATTTTATAATCCTTACTTCTATTCCTTCTATTATTTCTAATACTTTCTATTTCTTCACAACTCATTTCATGTCTTCACTATGTTCCTGATAGTCACTTTTAGTTCTCTAATTCACCAAACTTTTACCTCACATACTTTACTGTTTTCTCTTTCTGGATTAGTCTGGGTTTCACATTCCTCATGGCTGGCTTTGTCTCATCATTTAGGTATACCTTACACATTCTTTCACAAATATATTCCTGAGCCATCTTATTGTTAATATTTTTAAAACATAATAGTATCTGTTTTTACCTCTTCCTTTATTTTTATTCTTGTTGTAACTCTCTCCCACACCACTTTAGAATATAGGTTGAATGAGAATAAGGCAGGGGTTGGTAAATAATGACAAGACTAAATCTGGCTTGCCATCTATTTTTATTTTTAGCTCAAAAGCTAAGAATGGTTTTACATATTTAAATGGGTTTTTTAAAAGAATAATATTTTGTAGTCTGAAAATTATATAAAAAGCAAATTTTAATGTCTATCAATAAAGTTTACTGGTACACAGTAATGTTCATTCATTTATGTACTGTTTGTGGCGCTGAACAGTTATGACAGAGATTCAATGCAATGTTTTCTCCACTTTTGCTGGGCATACTTTACAATGATACAGTTATAACTTGAAAGCTTTTCAAGGGCTGAAAATACTGACCTCAATTTTTTTAATATCAGTACATACTCATCATGACGAAGCAAGAAAAGAAAATGGCAATTAAAAATTCACAGTTTTGAAACATTATGAAAAGTATTGGACTTTTGCTATTAAATTACATGCAAAGCAGTGTATTTGTTTTTAATAACAGTATTCCTATGCTAGAAAGAATGTAATGTACATAGATATTACCAGACTGAGCACTCAAGTTCATTTTATCAACTTGAAAAGCATCAGTTAGAAAAATTATAAAATTTGAAGTGTAATAGCTTATCACAGTGGAATTTTGTTACCAAGATAAAAATAAAATTTCTTCTGTCATTCTGAAATCTAGGCCAAAACTATAGTATAATAGAAAATGTGGTAGGCTGAAAAATAGCTTATCAAAATGTTCATCTCTTATATCCTAGAACTGTAAGTTTTACTTTATATGCCTAAAGGGACTTTGCAAGTATTATTAACTTAAGGATCTTGAGTAGAATGATTCTACATGAATTCTTACAAATAAGAATCCAGGTGGAGCATGTGTATGAAAGAGAGAGAGAGCCCTGTAGAATGAAGCAGACAGACAGAAATTTGAAGATTCTACCTACACTACTGAAGTGGTAAAAGGACATAAGTATTCTCTGGAGACTGAAAAAGGCAGAAACGGATTCTCCCTAGAGCATCTGGTAAGAGCTAGTCCGGTAGCACACTAACTTTAGCTCATTGACGTTTAATTTTAAACTTCCAAAACTGTCAGAGAATACTATGTTTTTTTGTGTGTTAAAACAATGAAATTTCTGGCCCCACTAGTTACTGCCACAATAAGAAATATATACCTTGCTAAAATTTCATTTAGAATTTTTGTACCCATGTTTGTAAGGAATGTGTGTGTGTGTGTGTGTGTGTGTGTGTGTGTGAAAATATGGTATAGAGGGGTTACAATTACATGGGTAAGGTAATGAGTTCATTTCTTATCAAGCATTGTTGCCTCCTCCTTTGTTTCACCTTCCCATCCCTTCCTTCCCATCTTCCCCTCCCTCCCCTCTTCCCCCAAAGTTGTTAAATTTGTTTTTCAACATAACGTCTTGTACATCTCATTGTTGCAATGGGTTCACTTGTATCCCTATTTAAACAATTTATTTTTTCCCTTTCTTTTTTCTTTATTAGAATATAAACAATCAGAAGGGTGACTTAGTACTCAAATATCAATCAATCAATCAATCAATCAATACAAACCGCCAATTAACAAACTCACAAAGAAATATCACACTATCATAAAATTAAACAGGAACTTCCTAAATTTGATAAGAATATCTTCAAAAGGCATAGAACTATGCAGAGCACTGGTAGTTTACTACTGTAATCCTAGCCACTCAGGAGGTTGAGATTTGGAGAATCACAGTTTGAGTCCAACCCAGGCAGAAAAGCCCATGAGACTCCATTTCCAAATAACCAGTAATAAAAGCTTCAAATGGTGAAGCACCAGTAGGAGGAGCCAAAAAAAATTGTACTTGATGATGAAGACAACATACTCTCCTAAAATCAGGAACAGTCAAATCTTGCCATTATTATTCAACATAATATAAAAGTTTCTAGACAGCATACATAGCAAGGCAATGGAAAGAAATACAAGACACACAGATTGAAAACATAGTAGAACTGTGTGTGTGTGTGTGTGTGTGTGTGTGTGTGTAAAGCAACAAAACAAAAACTAACAGAATTGGCTGGGAATGTGATTCAGGGGTAGAGTGCTTGTCTTGCATTCATGAAGCTCTGGGTTCGATTCCTCAGTACCACATAAACAGAAAAAGTTGGAAGTGGCACTATGGCTTAGTGATAGAGTGCTAGCCTTGAGCAAAAGAAGCTTAGGACAGTACCCTGGCCCTGAGTTAAAGCAAAAACAAAAGACTTCCTAGAATTAATGGTTAGCATAGTATCAAAATAATAGATCAACCTAACAAAAATCAATTGTATTTCCATATACTAGCAAACTAGTAATATGTAGAAACCCAAATTACAATATTATTCCAATTTCCTAGAAAAAGTAATGCTTAAATGTAAATTGACAAAACACTTATAGTACTGAATTCCTAAACTACAAAAGATAAATGAAAGAACTCAGAAATCTAAATAAATGAAGAGATCTATGGAGGACCTGAATTGAGATGTTCAACACCATAAACCTGTCAAGTGTCTCCAAATTGTTGATAACTGAACTTAACAAAATTCCTATGAGACAAGATTCTTCTGAAATGTCTATGGAAAAGCAAAGAAACTACTTAGCTGAAAAAGAAAAAGAAAGGAAAGTGGGAGAAATCACTACCTAATTCATGATGTATTGTATGGCTCCATACTAGAATGAGAATGAATAAGCATACATTCACAAATATGTCTGGGTCAAAAAATAGGATAGAGTCAGAATAGCCTTTTCCAGAAATGGTACTGAAGTAATTGTCCATAGCCAGTTAAGAAAAATGATCTTGAACTTAATACCACACAATGAGACTGATTATTTAGAATCATTTAGAAAGGAATAGGAAGTTCAGGTGTGCTATTATATGTAACCATGATACACTGAACAGAATGCTAAAAGAGGATGTTTTCATATAAATAAATGATCAATGTTGGATATGTACTTGATGTGCTCATTACACTATGTACACACAGATACATCTATAGAATCCCATACATATGTACAAGTATAATGTTTTATGCATCAGGTAAAATATTCTTATAATGAGTTTACATTGAAATGCAAAATGAAAAAATCTCTAGGACGTAATATTTGGTGAAGGATATTTGAACAGGGCAAGAAAAGCATAATGCATGACAGAAAAAAATTTTTTTAGTAATAGTACTTCATCAAAAGTAAAACTTTTTCAATAAAATAAAATGAAAAAAAAAGTAAAACTTTTTCTCTGGAAATAGCCATGCTAAAGCCAAGGAGAAGGTACTTGAAAACTGTCTGACAGAACATTTCATCTAAAACAAAGAATTCTCAAAATTTTAATAATGAAGTAATCCTCCATGAATAACATGCTTGATCTAGAATAAGTAATAAGTGTGGATGGGCTGGCAAGGTGGCTCAGTAGTAGAGTGCTTGCCTTGCATGCATGAGGCCCCAGGTTCAATTCCTCAGCACCACATAAGCAGAAAAGGCTGGAAGTGGTGCCGTGGCTCAAGTGTTAGAGCGCTCGCCTTGAGCTGAAGAGCAGAGGGACAGTGCCCAAGCCCAGAGTTCAGCCCCCACAACCGGCAAAAAAAGAAAAAAAAGAAAAAGAAATGTGTGGAGGCCATGACTTCTAAGCTAAAATTATCATGATGCTATGTGTTTTGAAACAGAGACAAAAGGATGTATTCACTCAACATCTACTCTTACTCTCATATTGCAATTTTTTTGCATTAATTATATCTCAGGTTATGTAGGATTCAGTAGTGCAAGTGATCATTGACATTAGAGTTCCCAAATTAAAATTACTAAAGGAAACTTATAGCCACAATGATAATGTTTCCCAGTAGTTTCAAGAAACTAGAACAAAACAAAGAATGACTAAAACTAGAGAGCTCTTCATTGGCTTTAATGTCTGTTCAGAAAATCTCATTAGATGCTGGTCAGAATTGCTATTTTGAATTCTTTTTATAAGTTTTTTATTGTGAAAATACTGTACAGAGGGGTTACAGTTACATGAGCAAGGTAATGAGAGATAATGAGTACATTTCTTATCAAGCATTGTAGCCTCCTCCTTTGTTTCCCCTTCCCATCCCTTCCCATATCCTGCCCCCCCACTCCCCCTCCCAATCCTCCCCGCCCCCCCAGTACATTTCTTACCAAGCATTGTTGCTTCTCCTTTGTTTTTCCCCTACCATCCCTTCCCTCCCATCTCCACAACTACATCCTCCCCTTCCCCCCCACCCCTTCCCCCCTCACCTAAATATAAAATTCGTTTTTCCACATAGCATCTTGTACATTTCATTGTTGCAATGGGTCCACCTGTATCCCTATTTAAACAATTTGTTTTTCTCCCTTCTGCTCCCCAAATTATACCAACATCAAATACAATGAAAACACTATTTTTGCTAACATATTTATAGAAGGTGCCACATGATTTTTTTGTTGCTTTGTAAGTCCCTCCCCCATGCTATTTTGAATTCTTACATTCACGAACACCTAACTACTTTGGTAGTAACATAATGGACTCAGGTTTAC